GGTCCCCCACCATACTGCTCAGAATTTCTTGGAGATGTTTCTATAAAGGTAGAGATGCCATCATCACTGTCGTCGTTGCCACTGTTTTACAATAATAAAGTAAGGCACTCTGATCTCTTCCTGTAAGCTTTATAAATTTATCATAAAATTTCTGGTGTGTGGATGGCAATGACTCATCCGTTGCCCTCTGGGTTTCAGTTCCATGAAAGGCACGGGAGCTTGCATATTCGGTTTAGCCTCAAACCCTTTGCTTGCATGACTGCTTTTTGTCTTACTGCGGTTGATATCCCCAACTACTGAAATCAAGGAAGCCTGCCTGGCAGGCTGTGTTCAGCATCCATAGTGAGTTACATGAAAATTTGGAAGCCTCCAAAGCATCCAATTACCCTTTTAAAACGCTGCTATTCCTGTGGGCTTCACAAGTATTCCCATCTTAATATTTCTCTCAAAATTCATTCTTTTCCTAATGCCCCTTTCCTAACCTACCCCTCAAAAGCAAAATGAAAACGTCCTGCTTTCACATGTCCCCCAGGATCCCTGTCCCACTGCGCCCTCTCCATCTCCCACCACATAACATACAAACAAGCTGTGCAGATTTGGGGCAGAGCCTCCTGATTAAAATAAATGAAACAGACATGTGGGTATGGAGGACTGAGCGGGAGGGCCTTTCCACAGAGCCGGACTCTGAGATCTGCTCATCCCTGGGGACCACCCTCTGTTTGATTTCTACGTTGAGAATCCCCTAGAGCTGGACATTTTTATTCTTCATATTTCCCCATTTTTGGCTTTCTGTCTCTTGCAACTTAAATGAGAAAATGATCTGTTCTCATTGACTGTGTTGCCCCATGTTCAAAGAGTAGATAGGCTTTAAAATATTTTAAATTGATGTTATCATGTACATGCATATGTGTGCTGTGGGTGTCCATGTCGACATGTATGTGCCAGGACACACATACGGAGGTCAGAAGACAACTTTGGGGGGTGGGTCATCTCTCTCCTCCAGAGATCAAACTCAAAATATTCAGGCTTTTGTTGAGCTATCTTTCCTGCCCTAACCCTGTAGCTGCTCTGGGTACTCTGCTCTGGGTACTACACCTAGAGGCCCTGCTGTGAAGGCACCACAGGGAGGGGCTTCAAGAAGCAGCCCAGGGATCCCATCATGCGCTGCTGCTAGCCATGACTTGTTAAGACTCTGGCCTTAGAGATCAGACACCCTGGATTTCATTCTTGTTTGCTCAAAGAGTCGCTGGTCATGCCTGGGCTGAGTGCTCCGGTTCTCATCAGCCTACAGCTGCCCCAGGGTGCCACTGGGTATTACTGTAAGGCTAATTTCCTTGGCCAATGCCCCACCCCCAGGGACCCTATTCATGCTTCCGGAAGGAAGCCCTTAGGTAAACCTGTTACCTCACCCTGCCACATGTCTCTGCTTCCTGATAGTCTGGTACCTGTGGATCCCGAATGTTGCCAGTAAGCATTTGTGCCATCCATGTCCCTGGGCACCGCAGTTATGCTTGAAACCTCAGGGCAGTTGTGTAGCTGCAGACAGCTCGGCAAGGGCAGGGTGTTTCCAGGAGAGCTTGGGGTGAAGACACAGATGCACCAGTCCTCATGAGAAGGGGGGGGGGATGGGGACTCTTTCTTTTCTTTTCTTTATTTTTTAAGATTTATTTATTAATTACATGTACAGTGTTCTGCCTACATGTATGCCTGCAGGTCAGAAGAGGGTGCCAGATCTCATTACAGCCAGTTGTGAAGCACCATGTGGCTGCTGGGAATTGAACTCAGGGCCTTTGGAAGAACTGTCAAGTGCTCTTAAGAGTCTAGCCTGGGACTCTTTCTTTTAAAGGGAGCCATGCTATGCACTGTTTATGCAGTAGGGATCTTTCTCACTCTTGCTTGGATTTTTTTTTTTTTTGGTTTTTTGAGACAGGGTTTCTCTGTTTTGGAGGCTGTCCTGGAACTCGCTCTGTAGACCAGGCTGGCCTCAAACTCACAGAGATCTGCCTGCCTCTGCCTCCTGAGTGCTGGGATTAAAGGTGTGAGCCACCAACGCCCAGCCCTTGCTTGGATTTTTAGGTAATGCATTAGGTCATTTGATTCAGATTGCCATGTGCTATCTTGGACCCAAAATATAAAATACAACACAAATGAAGATCTAAACATGAAAGAACGAAGTGAAAGTTTTTAGAGGAAAAAAATGCCTTTGGTATGTTAGCTTAGTCACAAAGAAAGACATGAGAGAATAATTTATACCATGAGAAATATCCTCTGTAGAAAAACTCAGAGAAGATTTTACAGAAATGAGAGGTGAGGGGAAATATTTGCAACATGTGGAACAAAAGCTTGTAGCCACAATATGTAAATATTTCTCATAAATACCTAAGAAATTATTAAGAAAACGACAATTAGACTAATATGAATTAATTATGAGAAAGGGAAGCATAAATTACCATAACTCAAGGAAAAGTCAAAAATTGCCAGCAACTGGGGAGATACAATACGAAATGAAAAGAAATAAATAATTAAAAAATAAGGTACATATTTTTTATGCCTGTTTCAGATAGGGTCTCACCACAGTAGTGGAGGCTGGCCTCAGTCACCATCTTTCTGCATGGTCCTCCGCAGTGCTGAGCAGCTGTGTACCTAGTTTGGTCATCCTGCCTGGCAAGATGCACAGCTTTACCTATTAAGTTGGTGTAAGCAATGGGAGGGATGGCTTAGCCATCAAAAGCTCAAGCTTTTATAGATAACCAAAGTCTAGTCCTCGGCTCTCATATTGTGCAGCTCACAGCTACCTGTCATTTCAGCTCCAGGGTATCTGGTGTACTCTTCTGACCTCCACCGGCACCTGTACCCACAGGCACATAGCGCCACACACATACACATCGGAGTCTCCGGTGATAATGAGAGGATAGGGTGTAGATAACACCTTAGGGTAGTCTTTCATAAGGTGGTTCTTAAACCACACTAGCTGAAAGTGGCTGTCCTTTGGAAATAACATCTTATTTCTAAGAAATCTTTCTTGATAGTCTACTGATAAGTTTGTGCCAACCTACATTTACACACATTAATTCTCTCTCTCTCTCTCTCTCTCTCTCTCTCTCTCTCTCTCTCTCTCTCTCTCTCTCTCTCTCTCTCTGTCTCCCTTCCTCCTTCTTTCCCTCCTTCCCTCTCCTTGCCCCCCAATGTTTTGGTCATAATTAAGAGGAGGAGGAGGTATTTGTTTAGTAGGCGTGCACGCCAGTGATTAAACATCTCATCAGAACAGCATGGGGTAGTTTCAGGCAGGAGGGACAATAGGGCCTCAGTAGAATTTGACTGTTTCCTTCTATAGTGTTTAATTTTTAAATTTTCTGTGATAAAGTCCTCTTCAGATGATATTCTCTTATACAGAAGAGTCTATATGAACATATGACTTGATGATCTTCACTGTGTCTCCAGAGCCTTCCACATGAGGAAAGGTTAATTCAGGAAGAGCCGCCAAGTGGAGGTTTAACCAAAGGTCCATGCACCACCTTATTGTTGTCATTGCTTTCTTCTCCCTCCATGTCTGAACAGCAATATGATCTTCTTGCAAAAGCAGACTCTGGTAAATGCTAGGAAACAATTTAACCCGGAGGGCAGTTTGTGAGAATTCTCTTATTTCTCTGAAAAATAAGAAGTTGGTCAAACAGGGCATTATTTAGAATCAGCCTTCATTTCTAAGCTCACTTCTTTTGGCCTAAGTAGAAGCAGCTTCCTGCCTCCTTCATGTTCTACACAGAGGTATTTGTCCTTGGATTTGTGACTGAACTCATGACATAGATTCCTCAGGACTCTGCAGGTATTCTCATTGTCCTCTGCAGCCGGCATAGGCCTGTCTTGCCAGCACTCGCTGTCCTCAGAGAAGGCCCGCTTGGAGCTGTGTGCTTGAGTACCTTCTCCGGGCCTGAGTTCATCCCTGAGTCTTCCTCTTACTGTTGAAACCATTTAACTACCTACCTGCCAGGCACCACCATGTGCTAGACACTGAGAATGCAATGTAAGCCACAACAGACTTGTGATCATAGTTTTATGAAAATCGCTGGATGTACACTAAATTCGATATTGGGTCAGAAATGCTGAACCAGAGATGGGCGGGACTCCAGATGTGTGTGTGTGCCTAGCACAGTAATGACTGTGGGAAGCCATTTGTAATCTTACTGCTGGAGACCTACCTTAACCTTACCACTCAGACGCTGAGCCTGCAGGATGGCGATATGTTTTCTAAGTCACTTACAAAGACAAATCCTCCCAGGACCAGAAGCTTGAAGCTAGTCTCTTAACATTTATGTTCCCTTTAAAGCACAGCTCCTGTGAGTTGAGCTCTGAGAAGTTTTACTAAACCAGGGAGGTAGGTTCATTTTCTTGAGCTGGTATGTAGGTGCAGCCTCAGTTCAGAGAGATTTCTTCAACTCTGCTGGAGTAGAGAGATAGATGGTGGGTGTTGCCTGACAGGACAGGAGTTGAGACAGTCTCAGCTGTCCTGAGGTTGGCCCAATGTGCACAGGCGCCTATTTCACAGCTGCCCGTGGTAAGCTCATCAGGCTGACCTTGAACTCCATTTTGTCAGTGAAGAAAGTTGTAGACCAAACCCTGGAGGTCTGGTAGGGCCATCAAAAGATTTTCTTAAGGCTTTAAGTTTGAAGAGCAGGTCTTAGAACTTTGCCAAGTTGAGCAGCAGAGATCCGTGGCATAGGGCCCTCCCAGAATATCCATCTGTTCTAAAAGTTATAATACCAAAGCCCTGCAAGTGACTGACCTGCAGCATCTGCAGGCAGAGCTCAGGTGTCACCCCTGGCCCAGCCACACATCAGCTTTATGACTGTATTTTCTACTTCTCCAAAGCGTAGTCATAGTTTCTGCATTCCCTAAGGGGGCTGGATCTGAGAGGTCGTGACTCCTGCAGCTGCAGGAACTGTAGAGCCAGGAAAGATGCAGGCCCTGGGGCCATCGTTCATCATCCTTCTTCTTCCTTGCAGCGGAGTTGGAGTTCGCACAGGTCCTCATCATTGTCGTGGTGGTCACAGTGATGGTAGTGGTTGTTGTATGCCTACTGAACCACTACAAAGTCTCCACACGTTCCTTCATCAATCGTCCCAACCAGAGCCAGAGACAAGAGGACGGGCTGCAGCCGGTAAGTGTGAGCTTGGGCCATCTGGGGTGCTCCTGGGTACCATTCTGGAGTTGCAAACCCAGACAAGGGGATGGCAAAGGCTAGAAGGCAGGGGAGCCCACCTGTCAGCTCACCACGGTGCAGAGGTGTCAAGGACTTTGGGTTGATGGTTAACATGGAAAAGTGTGTACGTTGTATGCATAGAGCTCAGTGGATTCTCACTTATAGCCAACACCCAGTCAGCAAAGTGGTATAAAGCCCTTCAAAAGCTTGCCCAGGTCCTCCATCTGTAAAAGTCCCTATTTGTTTATTGGCCATTGGGCCTAATTAGTTTTGCTAGCTGTGGCCCCTCACACTCATACTGTCTCTGTTGTGTCTGGCTTCATCCATACAGTACTAGGTTATATATAGATTTTTGCTTGAATTTAGTCCTGGAGTTGGTCCAGGGATTAGTAATGTCCCCACACATCACCAAATATGTCTGCAGTTCTAGGATGTGAGTCAGCTGAAGGGGACAGTGAGATGGCAAGCAACGTGTGCCCTTTCAGATAGATGGGATGAGGTAAACTAGAGGTGTAGGATGATATAAGCCATTGTTTGGGCTTTTTTAGTTTCTATTTCTTGCCCCAAATGCCTTCCCTCCCTTAGTAAAACAGTGTGATGTGTGGATAAGCTGACCCATAACCAAACTTGGGAGGTCAGGGAATGCTGGGCATGTTCTCAGCCTGTTTTATTATCGGTAATTTTGGTGACTTTTAGCAAGAGACTTGGAAATAGTGCCTTCAAGGGAGTTTAAATTCTTAATGTCAGTGTAAGACATCGGAGGCATCTAGTATTCATCTTCCATTCTTTTCTTAGTAGCAGGAGAGACATACTTTATTATGGAGTGTTGCTTATTGGGACTAGAGATACTTGGCCACTGCCTAAGGGGGGCCTGACTTAGGAGAGGCTGTTGTGGGTTTGGGGTATAACCACTGTCATGGGTAGTATGGAGTGGCAGCTGTGCATGGGGCCCCTCTCAATAGGGCAGGGTCTTGCTTCATTGGAATCACAGAGTTGGAACCAGGGAGAGCCTAATGGCTTGGTGGTCCTTGTGTGAAAAGGTAAGAGCAAGAGGGGGTAGGAAAAGTATGTGCTTCTGAATGCTGCACACATCTCCCACCTGAAGTACAGGCTGGGGCAGTGATAGCAGACACGATTCTGCCTAGTGGTCCCTGTTCCTTTTGACTTCCTGCATCTTCTGTTGCTGCCTTCGTCGGTCTCTCCTAGTCACCGGCTCCTCTGGGCCTGCTTGGTTGATTTCTTTGTATATCACGATGACTTTCTGCCGTTTGTCACCTGGTATCCACACCATCTACCCCTGACATTATGGGTCATCGTATAAAGACAGTTCAGATTTTGAAAGGGAGAACAAATTCTTCCAAAGTCCCGAGTGTAAAAAGGACAAGGAAAATCTTGTTATAGCAGCCATTTTAGAGCCATACGGGGTCTTTGCTTTGCCTTGAAATAAGGACTGCAGATGCCAGCCACTCCTTGACAGATACAGTATAATTCTCTCTCATGGCCATCAGCAGTAGGCATTAACACCCAGGTTGCACTGGTTGTCAGGGTCCCTTGGTCCTGGGTGTAAGCTCTACTCTCTAACCCATTTGCTTTTCCTGTCTCTCTAGTCCCTTGCCTGGGCTCTTCCCTTCGTCTTCTTCTTGGACTTGTCTAGACCTAGGGTATTATCAACTACCAAGTGTCCTTGTCTCCGCAGTGTAGACCCAGCCCTGTGCTCTCTTGCTGTGGAACACTGCCCTTACATGTTAAGTCCTGGCCATATGTATCCTGGTCATGTATTTACCAACCAAGAGGCATAACAGGAAGATACCCTGAGAGGAGAAAGAGGCAAAGGTCTCATGTGGTTTACTTGGGAAGATACTTCCCCTTTACCCTGCACTGGCTTCTCTGGGAGCATGCAGGCCACAGTTGGCATGCTGACTGGCAGGACTTTCCTTTCTGGAAGTTGGGAAGGTGACTTTGAGCAGTCCTGCCAGGATGAATGTTGAGTAGCAACAAAGACAGTCAGTAGCTCATGAATTTTATGGGCTGAGGGTAGTTCTGTCAGTAGATGTTTGTAAGCTGTGTGTGGAGATCTGGGTTTCAGCTGCAGAGCTGGAGCCCATAAAGAGGTGCGCCTTCCATACCCGTGTTTATGAGGTGGACATGAGAACAGTGTGGTCTTTCACTCCTGAGTTACTCGGTGTCTGTTTCTCACGTTTTTCTCTGAGTGACCCCGAGCTGAGTGTCATCCCTACCGAGGGCTTACTTGTTCTTTCTCTGTTGATCCCAACTGTAGACATTGCCTATCCTAGGAATGGGCACTAGTCTATGCTTCATAACGTTCAAGGCTATTTCAACATTAAGACCAGGGGTGCTTGAATTCCTGAGTAGGACTATTAGCATAGCTTATTGTTCTAAATAAATGGGAGAAAGTGGAGGAAGAGAAAGCAAACCTTCCTTCTCTCCTGCACACACCTGAGTTTCTGTCCTTTCTACGCCTCCCTAGCTCCTGAAGCATGGAGTGTTGCTTCCTTATGAGGGCTGAAAATCTCTTCATTCCCTTCTATGTTTGACTCTCAGTTAGGGGATACTCTATAGAGTCTGGGGTGGTGGCACAGTTGAGGGTGCAGTGCTTCAGAGATAGTCTGATCACCCCACAGTGCACAGGGGACCCCAGAGAAACTGTCCCCTTCATGCTTAGCGCTTCCTTATATCACAGGAGACATAGCTATTCTGAGACTCTGCATGGTAGACTCTTTCCTTAGCCATTTCTACCTGCTTCTGCTTCTCCCACCCATTGGCTGGATCCCATCTTAGCCAGGAGAGCAAAGTGACCAGGTAAGAACAGCCAGCTCTCATCCTACCTGAGGTCAAGGTTCAGATACCACCATTTGATTCTTCTGAGAATGCTTAAGTCTCACCATCCCCTTGTGTTTATGAACTAGGCATGAGAACTCATTGTCTCCTCTACTTCAAGTGACTGGCCCAATCTCTACAGCTTCTAGTTGATTTTCCAGGTCACCTCCCTTGGCCCCTCAAGATGTAGTCTGTGTTTGCCATCTTCCTGAAAAGAACTAGCAGGAGCTGGGCAGTCACGTTGTGGAAGAGAGGATGCCCTGCTCTTGTTCACATGCCTTGGACAGCCAGGTTGCCCCTGGAAGGGATGTTGATTTGTAGAACTTGGGGCAGAGTGACAATTGAGGATGAATGTGTATGTCCACTGTACCTCTGTCAAGTGGTCTCATATTTGCTATCCAAGCCTAGTTCCTAGATCCCAAAATACCTTTATTTAACTATCACCCAAGTCACAAGCTCACCCCCCGTGGTAGCATGGGCAAGTGCCTTAGACACTCTACTACTTGGTAGCATGTAGGTTCAGAAGGTTCCTGTCAGTCTTTCAGTGGGGAACCTCTCCCTGAGCTGAGCCTGAGTGTTTCAGCAATTTTTAATGTTTGGGGTCTTTTGTCTGCTTATTACAGATCCATGTGAGGTCTTTAGTATGGTTGTAATGTTGTGTTAGTCTTAAAACTGTTTGAAAGAGAGTTATTAGAGGATATCTCACTTTGATCAAAAGGAAAAGCCAGAATGAAGTTGCTTGCCCTGGTTAAAGTCAGTTTGACAGCCTAGAGTCAGTCATCTGAGAAGAAAGCCTGGACTGAGGAATTGATAAAATTTGTCGGGGGTGGGGAGCATCGTCTTGATTATTAATTGATGCAAGAGGGCCCAGCCCGTGTTGGGTGGTACCATTCCTAGGCAGGTGGTCCTGGGTTGTCTGAGAACACTGAGTGTAAGAGTGAGTGAGCTAGCAACAACATTTCTCCAAGCTTCAAGTTCCTACTTCCTGCCCTATTGCTTCCCTCAGTGATGGGTAGCTGGCGTCTTGGAAGTGTAAAGCAAATAATTCCTTTCCTTCCCCTTTTTCCTTTGGGTCAGAGTGCTTTTTATCACAGCAGCAGAAATCATAAAAGGACATTCATAGAACAAGATATCGAAAGCTTGGCTGGCCTTGGGGATTGGGAACAGTCACTTGTATTCCACTACTCTTGGACTTCGAGCCCTTCCTCTAGACAGTGCAGTCTTGAGAAACTTCGCAGAGAGGAGATATGCTGCTCCTACCTCCACTGCTATCCTTTCTCACATTACCAACAACCCTGGTCCCTTCATTCATTGACTGGGAAATGCAGGTTTGAAGTATGACGAGGGCTCTGCGTACCTGAGGCCGGTCACCCCCCCCCTCTGAAATGTGTGTGCCAGGACTGACCAGTGAAAGTCACTGCACAAAAGTGAAAAACAGTACCCTAGGCCTACATTAAAGGAAAAGTAGACACTCACATGATGAATGCATTTGTGGCATAAATACTTTGGTTTTCTTGAGGCTCTCTCAACTTGTTTTTAAGTGTCTTGTTTTCATGGCTTAGAGCTTTGTGACCATCTAGACTTCTTTCCTTTATCTTAAATTACCAAATAATGGGAAAACAATAAAAGGGTCTAGGTGTTCTAGACCCAGCTCTAATGGATATTTGCCAGAAAGGCCTAGGCCAGTGGTTCTCAACTTCCCTAATACTGCATTAATATAGTTCCTCATGTTGTGGTGACCCCAACCATAAAATTATTATTATATCACTACTTCATAACTGCAATTTTGCTACCCTTATGAATCGTAATGTAAATATCTGATATGCAGGATATCTGATATACAACCCCCGAAGGGGTAGTGATTCACAAGTTGGGAACCACTGGTCTAGGATTTTCCTACTGGAGAGGCCTGAGAAGTCCTTTCTGACAGCAGCACCCCAACCAGGTGGGTCCTGCTGACCCTATTTGGACAGCCCAGGGTTTGTGGCCAGTGGACATGCAGAGATGGCTGGCCTCCGGGCAGGACTGAGAGGGGGAAAGAGTTTTCCTGGGTGTGAACTGCATGAGATAGTGAACACTGATCACTTTTGACTTGTAAGAGCAGACATTTCGATTTAGAA